CTCAAGGGCAAGTTTCAGAGTCTCTTCTGTCATCCATTTTGGTCTTCTCTTCTTTTATTGTCTTTTTAGTGACCTCTTGCTTTGTTCATGGATGATGCTCTTGATGTCATCCCACAATTATTCTGGTTTCCGGTCATTGGTGTTCAATGCATCAAATCTATTTTTTAGATGGTCTTTAAATTCAGCAGGGATATATTCTAGATCATATTTTGGCTTGCATATGAGCAGTTGATGTTGTGTTCCACAATCAGCTCCTGGCCTGGTTTGGCTGAAGATATTGAGCTTCTCCATCGCCTCTTGCCACAGATGTAGTCAGTCTGATTCCTGTATGTTCCATGTGGTGAACTCCACGTGTACAGCCACTGTTTCTGTTGTTGAAAAAAGTGTTTGCAATGAACAAGTCGTTGGTCTTGCAAAATTCTACCATGCAAGTTCCAGCGTTATTTCTATCACCAAGGCTAAATTTTCCAACTACTGGTGATTCTTCTTTGTTTCCAACTTTTGCATTCCAATCACCAATGATAATTAACACATCTTGATTGCATGTTCAGTCAATTTCAGACTGCAGAAGTTGATAAAACTCTTCAATTTCCTCATCTTTGGTTTTGGTAGTTGGTGCATAAATTTGAATAATTGTAGTATTAACTGGTCTTCCTTGTAGGCATATGGATATTAATCCTATCACTGACAGCATTGTACTTCAGGACAGATCTTGAAACATCCTTTGTGATGATGAATGCCACACCATTAAACTGTCATTCCTGGCATAGTAGATCATATGGTTGTCTGATTCAGAATGGCCAAAACTAGTCCATTTCAGCTCACTGATACCTAGCATATCAATCTTTATGTGTTCTATTTCATTTTTGACAACTTCCAATTTTCCTAGATGCATACTTCTTACATTCCATGTTCCGATTATTAATGGATGTTTGCCGCTGTTTCTCCTCAATTTGAGTGGTGCCACGTCAGCAAATGGAGGTCTCGAAAGCTTTACCTTATGCATATGAGTAAGGCCAGTTTTACTCTGATGATGCAGTCTTTCCCAGTCCTACTTTGAGAGCTTTCTAAGCTAAGTGACTCATCTTCCTCCTCTGTATTGGACAGTGTTTTCGGACTATTCATAAAGTTGTGCAATAATGTATCAGACAGTGTTTCTCTGTTTTTCATAAGGTTTTCCCTGGCCAGTTCTTTGAGAATTGGCCTCCTCCTTCTTCCTAGTCTGTCTCAGTCTCCAAGCCAGGCTGACACCTGTGCACCATGTGCACCCCACTGGGTTTGAAACACCAGTGGCACACCCTCAAGACTCACAGTAACACGTCACCACAGTAGGACAAACCGACAGACAAGTTTGTCTCCCTTAGCTGTTGGAAATCTCTCCAACCACCATTACCTAGATGCCCTGCGGCTGACTCCTGGATCTATTCTGGTCCCTTTTGCCTTTTTGGTCCTTTCCCTGCCTTCCCACCTCCCTGCTTGTGGGGCATGGCCTGGGTTGCCTCTCCTTACCTGGGTTCCTGCGGCTGACTCCTCCCAAAGTATCTTAGTGTTACTCATAATCACTTAGTTTACTTTTTATAAGTTGAGTTTCTCCCTAAAATGTTATTGTTTTTCCCTCTGTGATTAAAAAATAATCTTGAGGGAAGATAGTTTAAGATTGGAAATATCCTGTTTCTCGTTAATTTTTTTTTTTTTTTAATTGTGATTTGGGTGAAGAT